CCAGTTAGCTTAGCAAAAAGACTGAAATCAGGGTGAAACAGCCAGCCTGGCTCTGTCCAAAACAAGAACAAGAAAGAGTTTGGCACCACCCGTGAAACCACAATATGACACTTATACACACCTAGGTTTGATATATGCCGTGTTAATTAGTGAGGTTGTGAGGTGCTGATAGGCTGCTTTTGTTACCGTTAGACTAAGCCAGGCAAGCTGTTTCCCCGTGTCAGTCTTTGTGCAAAGCTAAACTCAGCTAAGCTCAATGGCTGCTGGCGGTGTTCTCTAATTTAGTGTAAAGAGAGTGGTATCTTCTTAAATTCTGGAAAGAAAGCAAAAAAGCTGATTTCCTAAAATTGTAAACCATTTGTTTTAGGTCTTACCTTTATCTCTGAACATATTGCTTAGTTGGTGTTTGGCCTCTCTGAAATGCAGCATCAGTGGGCAATGTCAGTCATCATTACATATACAACTTCTATGTCTTCTTTCTCACATTCGTGGGACCCTTTCTTACACGCTTTTTTAAACATATGTTTTAATAGTGGGTCAGAGCTTAAATATGTTGCCAGTGAAAATATGGAGTCCACTCTGATGCCTGTACAGTAAATATGAAACTACAGATTGTTAGACTGCCACTCGCTCAATGCTTATCTTTCAGGAAGAAGAAAGAGAGGTCGATACCATTATCACGTCTGTAGTGGTAAATATGACTACCGCCAGTAGCCAGACTACTGCCAGTAGCCGGTTAGCTAACTTAGCATAAAGAGCAGAAAGAGCTAGCCTGGCTCTCTCCAAAATAAAAATAAAAATACTTACCACACCCCTAAAGCTCAGCAATTATCACATACAGTATATTATTTAATGTGTTAACACACAGAAATGTAAAAACTACCCTTAGCTAAGATAAGCTAATAGACTTTTTTCACAGCAGCTTTTTTGACATGAAATAGTAGGGTAAACACAGGTGTTACCAATGATTCTCATTAAGGTTCTGTTCCATTTAGTGTACCAGAGCCTTTCCAGTGAGCCAACATGCACAATAGCTGCACCCTGACTCTGTTTGACCTGAAGGGAACAGAGCCTTCATTAGTATCATTGGTAACACCTGTGTTTACCCTACTGTTTCATGTCAAAATGGCTGCCGAGAAAATTATATATATTGTGTATATTGTGGCTCTAGCTTAATACTTAAAGGCAGTATCTCAACAGGAGGGCGGTATCCGTCTTCTCAAGTAAGCATATTTCTTAAAATGTCTAAATATTATTTATTACTTACAGTATTACTGGATATTTCAGGTAGGACCATTTTCTGTTTTGTCCTCTTAGTGACAAACTTGAGTCGTCTGCCTAAATCTTTCTCCTGGTGAATCCATTCACAGTGGTTGTAGCCTGTTTGTTGGAATCTAGTTCTAGTAGTTTATTATTTCTATAGTTTATTCCAGTTCCTCTGCTTGTGTTCTTTAGTTATTTCTTTAGTGTAGTGTATGATGCTAGTAAACTGTGCGACAGATTTTTATTCAGGCTTTTTATTAGGTGTAGAGGCTGAAAGGATTATTATGTAAGAAGCATTTCTCTGTGTCCTTCATACACAGGCCACTAAGCAATGTGCTGCCTTCCGGTTTATAAAAATGTTCAGGAAAATTATTTGTGGGTGTCATGTTTTATCTTAACAAATGAAGTGCTCATGGATTTGATTGAGATATTAAGGAAATTGTTATAAATAATGAGCACAGCCTTTGTAGCACTGTCAACATAACATTTGGCCGACAGCCACCTGAAGCCGGATAACTCACAGGTAAGATAAACAGATTTCCAAATTCTTAAATAAACCCACCCACGCCTCTTCATGCCCGCAGAGACACTTGGCTATTGTTGTCTGTGGTGAGTGCACCAAACAAACAGGGCACTTATGTGCTAAAGTGCAACCTCAGTGCGTTTTCTCCCATGGAACCAAAAGGCCAAAGCAGGTGTTCAGTGACGTGAAGTGTTTGCTTTGAGGCTGGCTCTCATTTCCCTCTCCTCTCCGTCTCTATTAAAGTCATTCCTCAGCTGTTGGTGAGCAACAGGGGGAAGTAGACTTGGACAAAAACAAATTGAAATGCTGTTTTCCAAAGTTGGAACTGGAGCCTGTCTTTCCAGTTCCAAACACAACCTCCGAAGAGAACTTACCATGTGTAAAATAAGATACAAAGGGTGCACTCAAGCTTTTCCTTGGATTAATCAAAGATTCATACAATAAGTATGGATACTATAGTTGTACCAAACACAGAAGCCTTTTTATTATCAGTGTGATAACCTTCAACTCATATTGTGCCTCAGACATAAAGCTTTTCAAGCCTGAGGAGACATTTTTGTTCTCATGTTGTATAATTTGCCTTGTCCACTGACGTCCCTGTAGCTGGAACTCCAGCTAATCAGGACAAGGTGAAGGGTCTTAACAAAGAACAGGTTGAGCAAAGACAGCATCCCTCACACGGACACAGTGAGCTGCTTCGCTAACAAGAGGTGCAGTGTCGGAGTAGAGCGTGGGCGTTTATTTTTGTGTGGTCAGACCATTTGTTGGAGCCATGTGCATGTTGCTATTATTCACTCGGTGGTCAGAAACAGCCTATATCAGGGGATATAATAAGCCACTTACTAAACTATTCAGTGCCTGAAATGGTCGGCACGTATAGGAACAGCTTTGTTTCATATTTTTTTACATAAAAAATTCCACACAGATCTTTGACACAGTGTATGGTATAAAAATATAGGCAGTACTCTAAAGTAAGTTAATACTTTCCAGGGCTGTGTTTTGGCAAGAATTTGCCGATACGATATGTATCACGATACAGTGGTTATGATTCAATATACTGCGATAATGTAAGCAAAGTGATATATTGTCACAATTTTCAATCCAATTTTAGAAAACTGTCATAGTATAAACACACTACCATATGCATGAAAAAGTAGCACCACCACAACCACAACACAACACTGTGATCTGCATTTGTATTTAGTCCCTATAACATCCAACATCAAACGACATAGCCCTCAACACATAGCGATTTAGATTTTTAATAATCGATACAATATCACAAAACATCGCAATAGAATATTTTCTGATATTTTCTTACACCCCTTATACTTTGTGGAAAGTACTTTGTGTACTTCACTTGTAAGCACAGTGTCCCACAGCACACCATTGAGTTGAAAAAAACCATGGAAGGGTTGGGGGAGAGTGTGCGCTATAACAGTGGTTCCCAAACTGGGGGTTTGGACTCTTTCAAGGGGACACGAGATGGCACAAGAAAGAAGACAAAAAATATTTTCATCATTTTGGATATTGTCTCTATTCTTTGCTCTAAACTGGATAGTTATACCTACAATATACATAGAGAAAACAATCAGAAATGCTAAAACGATAAAATCACTGACATATGCAGTTTGTGTGGTGCGATGAGAGAGTTGCAAACAGAGTCATTCCTTCATAAGGCAAAAGGTTGGAAACCACAGTCTCTACAGGTCATGGTGACACTTGTTTTATCAGACTAACAGTCCAAAACCCAAAGACAGTCAATTTACTATCAAAGAAGAGTAAGAAAACCAGATAATATTCACATTTGAGAAGCTGGAACCAGTAAATGTTTTTCATTCCTGCTTAAAAATAATTATACTTTGATTAGTTTCAAAACTATTTTCTGTCAGTCAACAAATGAAATAAATCCCTAATCGTTACCTACCACACTAACAGCTGGGGCCCAAATTAGCAAGTCTGGGCTTGAGATTCACCCTCATAAAAACACAGATGAAGGTTTGTTTACTGTGCTTTGATAGAAACAATCCTGCGGTACCTTTAGGTTCCGCTCTATAATTTGGAAAACTTAGGTTTCACTGAGCAGATGAAAAGTGTCTCCACTCATTGAGCTGTGGCAGTAGGGGGCACTGTATGGCTTTGACAATGGGTTAAAAGCCTGAGAGGCTCTGCTCCTCCTCCTTGTGCACTGCATATAGTGAGCAATTAAACCTTTTGCTAAAAAAGGGAGCATAGTATGCTCTACAGCCTGACGGATACATTTATAAGAGAACACCGCAAATGTCTGTGTTACACTTGTGTGTTGGTGTGGTGTGGCAGGGCAGAAGCAGAGAAAGACAGAGTGTGAGAGTGTATGCGAGTGTGTGCCCGTGCTGTCTGTCAGTTAATTGTACTGCCACCCAAACACTCGCTGTTCAAGACAACTGGATTTCTAACTTCAAAGCCATGCATATCACTTTGAAGGGCTGCGAATGTACTCCAACTACCCTCCCCTATCCGCATTCTGACCTCCATCCAAAAAGCCCCAACCCCACACACACACATGCACACACTCTCCAAAAACAGGCCGTTTCCCGTTAGCTTATTAGGGTCTTAATTGACAACTCCTGCCCTTCAAAGCACAAAGTCACTGGTTGAATTGCTAATGAGCAACAAAATAAATACTTGCCAAAAAAAAAACCCAGTAGGAGAAGGCATATGTTTTTGATAAGTGGGGACTTGTGAGTGACAACTAAAATGTGACAACTTGAATTGGAGTGAGCGCTCCCGAGAATGCCAAGAAAGTTTTCTCCCAAGAGCACAGATTGTGGCTGTTTATTCAGATCTCCATTTGCTGGCAGCCAGGTGACAGCTATTATTCCCAGGGTTTCACATACAAATATAAAACAAGCTGTATGACAAAACTGTCGCACACACTCAAAACAACACACTTCTTCAGACTGATGTGGAGACATTTAGTTGGCTGGAGCCCACGGAGACTTGACATTATACAGTACTTACTTTATGTATGTTTTGTGATTGTGTCATTCCTCACAAAGGTTATGGTAAACAAGGGTGACAAATTGTTTTCAACTAACCCATTGTGCTGGAGTTGATGACTAACGATTTGTGGGAATGGATCCTACTTGGTCTTAACAAATCTCACCACGTACGAGGATGATGCAACACTGACATTTAAGTGAGCAGTAATTATACCAGATCATCTGCACACTTTGAGTCTATGAAACCTGAGTCGGATTATTCGTGGGATGGTCACACCTGTATCACCTGTCAATGACTAGATCAATAGTAAAAACAACCTGCTGCAGTGAACTGGATCTAATATCTTACAACAGCAGCTGATTTCTAAAAAACCTTGAGAATAATCAGTTCTTTGGCAGAAAATATTACGAAATGTAGTGGAAAGACTGACAGATGTCGCCATGTTTAACCTGCAGCCTGCTCACTATTGTTGCCTAATGGCCTGAAAGCTGTTGGACCAAACACTCTCAGACCAGGGATGTTCTTGAACAAGTATTGAAAAGGCAGAGGCATTATCTAAGTTTAGACCACTTCCCCTATTCTTGTGTAGACAGGACTGTGCAGTCCATTTCAAGCCGTGATGGAAAACACCCATCAGCCGTTATGCCATATTTTCCACAAGCCTACATGTCAAAAAAAAATCCCTGAAGGAAAATGGTGGTTGTGCTGGTTAATAATAATAAAGGGAAACATGTTTTAAGCAAAGACAATTGACCGTTTCCTAAGCTACACCCCCTAGGTTACTGTTGCTATGCCGGCTTGAGTTTTCCGTTCTTGTGCGAGACAGTTTACAGTGAAAATTCTTAATAATTCTTGAAGCAATGGGTCCTAGATTTCAGACAGAGGCACACAAAAGCATGATTCTCATTTCTAGCCACAACTGCCAATTTTGCCGTCTGAAATGCAGATTTGATCAGCTGTAGCTAACTAGCTAATTAAGCTAACGTTAGCTCCAGGAGTTGGTTGAAATCGCTGTCTCCGGCTGACTTTGTAATGTTTACTGCTCCTTACAAGAATCTTGTAAAAAGGGGTCTTAAATGGACTGCACTTAATGGTTACATGTATTGCGCTAAAAGACTGAAGCTAACTGACCCCAGAAAAAGGTCAGCGTCTTCACCAGCTGAGGATCCATGTAGAAAACATGGAGATAAAGACACATTGCATTACAGCGTAGAGCCAGTTAGTCCTAGTTGTATTGATATGATAAGGAAAAGCGTGTGATCCCAGTCATTTCATTCTAATATAATCCTATTTAGCCACTTAGCTTACTTGGTGGTACTTTCAAATGTTGTCATTTTTAATCTTACAAAAGAAAAGGCTTTTAGGATGAGCACTAACCGATGTGTTTGGTAAAAGTAACTCTAAGCTGCTGATTTTACCCTAAACTCCACACAGCAGGGAAATACTACACAGTGTTAGGCCTGTCACAAACAGCAGGGTGTTCTCTTCCATTACTACATTGCCTGTTATGGAAAGAATGACTCTATAGCCTGAGACAAATGTTTGATATTTATGTAAGTGCAATTTTTGGTAACAGAGCCCGAGAGTGAATATTATTTATTATTTTGGTTGTGTGGTTTCATTTATGTTTTATTTATCAAGAATATTTACATTTTTTTCTCATTCCAATTCGAATGTCTGAATACTCTTAAGAATTTAAAGTTCATTGCTATTTGGAAGGGCGTACCTGCATTATTATTCCAATTATGTCGACAATACATCGTAACTACTACAAAAGTAGTTATTGAGACAGGCCTACACAGTGTATGCTAGGCATGTCTGGCTTTCCTAAAATAACCTGTAACAAAACCCACAAACTAATGAAGTTAGTTAATGATGCCTGTAGGTCAGTAAATGACACTTGGTTAGACTGTATGTAGAACGTTAGTTGGGCGTGCTAATGATTGGGGCTTAGAGCAGAAGAACACATCGTTCCGTTCCTTCCACTTTTGCTGTTGTGTTTCTGATTTGAGAAAGGATCAAAAAAGACACCGCCCTCCAAACTCTTTAAAAGCAGATTATTGCTCTTACTACAGCTACACACACAGCCAGCGAAATATCCAAAGCCTGACAGGCCTGATGTTCCCAGGAACAGTTGATAAGATATGATCAGACTATGGCTGATGTGTTACCACAACATTTTGGCTTGTGACCCATTCTAATTAAACAATGGCTATCTGCCTCTCCTTGGGTTATAGTCTTAGTGTGGATTAGTGATCATTTTACCTACAGTAAAGAGTGATTTTTCTTCTTAACGTTGAAGGGTTTTTAGAACCGAAGAGAAAAAAAGGGTCCAGCATTTCAAAAGAAAAGGCATCAATTTGAGTCAGAAAGTCATAATAAGTATATATATATATATA